TGAACTTCAAGAAAACTTGAACAAGTTTTCTATTTCTTCATGTTTCAGTTTTGGTAGTTTATATGTTTGTAGGAATTTATCCATTTCTTCCAGATTGCCCAATCTGTTAGCATATAATTTTTCATAATATTCTCCTATAATTGTTTGTATTTTTGTGGTGCTGGTTGTGATCTCTCCGCTCTCATTTGTGATTTTATTTATTTGGGTCCTTTCTTTTTTCTTTTGATAAGTCTGGCTAGGGGTTTGTCAATTTTATTAATTCTTTCAAAGAACCAGCTCCTGGGTTCATTCATCTGTTCTACTGTTGTGTATATGTGTCTGTATCATTCATTTCTGCGCTAACCTTTATTATTTCCCTTCTTCTGCTGGCTTTAGGCTTCATTTGTTGTTCTTCCACTAGCTCCTTTAGGTGTGAGGTTAGGTTGCATATTTGAGATTTTTCTTGCTTCCTGAGGTAGGCTTGTATTGCTATATACTTCCCTCTTATGACTGCTTTTGCTGCATCCCAAAAGTTTTGGGCCATTGTGTTTTCATTATCATTTGTTTCCATGTATTTTTAAAAAATTTCTTCTTTAATTTCCTGGTTGACCCATTAATTTTTTTGTAGGATGTTCTTTAACCTTCATGTCTTTGTGGTCTTCCCAAAAATTTTCATGTGGTTGACTTCAAGTTACATAGCATTATGGTCGGAAAATATGCATGGTATGATCTCAATCATTTCGTACTTGTTGAGGTCTGACTTGTGACCTAGTATGTGATCTATTCTGGAAAATGTCCCATGTGCACTCGATAAGAATGTGTATTCTGCTGCTTTAGGATGAAATGTTCTGAACGTATCTTTAAGTCCATCTGGTCCAGTGTGTCATTCAAAGCCATTGTTTCCTTGTTGATTTTGCCTAGATGATCTCTCTGTTAATGTAAGTAAGGTATTAAAGTCCTCTACTATTATTGTATTATTATCAATGAATTCCTTTATGTTTGTTATTCATATTTGGGTGCTCCCAAATTGGGAACATAAATATTAAAATTGTTAGGTCTTCTTGCTGGATGGATCTTTTTATTATGATATAGTACATAAATATTAAAATTGTTAGGTCTTCTTGCTGGATGGATCTTTTTATTATGATATAGTGCCCTTCTTCATCTCTTGTTACAGTCTTCAGTTTAAAATCTAGTTTGTCTGATATAAGTACTCCTACTCTGGCTTTCTTTTGATGTCCATTAGCATGACAAATGGTTCTCTATCCCCTCACTTTCAATCTGCTGGTGTCTTTAGGTCTAAAATAAGTCTCTTGTAGGCAGCATATAGATGGGTCTTGTTGGGGTTTTTTCCCCCCATTCGGACACCCTATGTCTTCTGATTGGTGCATTTAGTCCATTTACATTCAGAGGGATTATTGATATATATGAATTTAGTGCCATTTTATTACTTGTTCTGTCATTTCTGGAGATTTTCTCTGTTTCTCTCTAGTCTTTGAAGCTTTTGGTCTTTCTTTCCCACTCAAAAAGGCCCCTTTAATATTTCTTGCAGGCCTGGTTTAGTGGTCATGAACTCCCTTAGTTTTTGTTTGTCTGGGAAACTCTTTCTCTCTCCTATGCTGGATGACAGCCTTGCTGGATAGAGTATTCTTATCTGCATATTTTTGCCATTCAGCACGTTGAATACATCATGCCACTTTCTTGTGGCCTGCCAAGTTTCTGTGGATAGATCTGCTCTTAACCTCATTTGTCTTCCCTTGTAAGTTCAGGACTTCTTTTGTCTTGCTGCTCTTAGGATTTTTTCTTTATATTTTGCAGATCTAACTTCTATGTTGTGGCCTCTTTGCCTCTAGTTGTGCAGTTTGTTCTGTCAGTCCTCAGATCAATTTCTTGGGTATTCAGAATGATTTGGTATTTATCTAGCTGTGTTCAAGGGAAGAGGCAAGCCTAGGGTCCTCCTACTATTCTGCCATCTTAGCTTCTCCCAGGTAATGTTTTAAAATATTCATTTTCAAAGAGGCCTTAAGATTAGTAATAGAGAAGGATGTCTAATAGTTCAAGATTTTTACCAAAGCCAGCCTAGCACTATCTAGATTTCTAACCACTTGTTTCTTCCAATTTCAAAATTTCTTTCTAATTTGGGGTTTAAATAATTTATTAGCTAAGGCCCATCTACATATCTCATAAGGCACTGGTAGAAACAGACATTCTGAGTAATTACCTACATCTAACCTGAAGCACTCTGATTCTCCTATACTATATTCAGATATCTGACCAAAAATTATTGGTTACCACTTTCCCTACCCCATTATGTGCCAGACACTATGCTAAGGTTTAGAAATACTGACATGAACACCATCAACACTGTCCTCCTCCTACATGCTTGTGAAGCTTCCTGAGGCAGTGCTATTCGAAAGCAATGCTTCTCAGACTTTTCTACCATGTAACCCAAGTATTCAGAAGCCTAGAGAACTCAAGGTAGAAAACAGTCTACTCAGTCTTCTGATTTATCCTTCAAATTCAGAGAGATATTGCTAGCCATGATATATCCACATTTGATTTAATTAAAAAACATTTCCCCTAAGAAATATGTTTGAATAAAATTGAATGTAATAATTTTATGCAACATAAAAGGAAGATATGTAACATTTCTACTGTGACTTATATACCCCAACCACATCTAGACCCCAGTATGAGAATCACTTTACTAAAGGAACAGCTGTCCAACATACTATATAAGATAGCAACCATACCTCTACCTCTCTTGGTATCCCTGGCATACTTTTGTCTTAATTTTCTTCATAGCACTTATTATAAACTGAACTTTTACATGTTTAAATGATTACTGTCTGACTCTTCCCCACTAGAGTATCAGCACAACTATTCAGTTCACTACTCTGTTCCCAGTACCTAGAACAGTGCTTAACATAATTGGCTTTCAGTAAACATTTGTTGAATAATTATTGAATAAGCAAACGAGAATCATAGCAATCCTCACTTTTATTTCTTATATAAGAAATCAAACTCCTTTATCATTATATATCTTCAGAATGTCCTTCTATGATGATAAAATACGAAATCTTTTAAAAGAACCTATTTCAGCTTTCTTACCCCTCCCCTTTTTTTAAAGATTTATTTATCTCTGGGGCACCTTGGTGGCTCAGGTGGTTAAGTGACCTGCTCTTGATTTAGGCTCAGGTCATGATCTCAGAGTCCTGGGATCGAGCCCCATGTCAGAGTCTGCACTCACTGCAGAGTGGGCTTGTTCCTTTCCCCCGCCCTTTGTTCCTCTCCCCACTTGCACTCTCTCATATAAATAAAATTTAATTAAACAGTAATTTAAAGATTAATTTATTTGAGAGAGAGAGAGAGTGCACAAGCAGGGGGAAGGGGCAGAGAGAGAGAGAGAAAATCCCAAACACACTCCCTACTGAGTGTGGAGCTCGATGAGGGGCTGGATCTCACCACCCTGAGATCATGACAAGCTGAAATCAAGAGTTGAATGGGTAACTGACTGAGCCACCCAGGTGCCCCAGCTTTCCTACTCCTGACAAAGATTTTGTTCTAACATGTAGCCAACTTAAATTTCTACTCTAAGAGAGCTTCAAATTTTTATCCCCTTTTTAAAGGTTCCCTATGTTTCAGTTAGCCTAAGTTTTAAATACTCCCTTGAAGTTTTATAAATTCTTCGCCTAATATTTAGCTGGGGAAAGGAGTGGGAAGAAAGGAAGTAAAATATAGGCAGAAGTAGTTGATGACTGGATGAGTGCTGAGAAAGAAAGAGATGACATTGGAGATGATACCATCAGTTTTGCTAATGAAATCACTGAAGGTTGATCACCAAGCTAACTAGAGAGTTACCCCTTTCCCAGGTCTCGGTTACTTAAGTACACAAATTAAGACTGTGTGCTTACTTTGGATCACTCAGTTGGGAATCTTTAGACCTGCTCAGTCCAAATCAATAGCCACTAGCACAGGGGGTCTCTGACACTTGAAATGTGGCTAGAGTGAAGACCTGAACTCTAAATTTTATTTAATTTTTATTCAAATGTAAAAGCTGAAGCAACACTAACCACATTTATTGTTTGGGTAGAACTACATTTCACTGGTGCATCACATAAATTATTATCGTATTTAGTAGTATGCGTTACATCTTAGGTTTTTTTTACCTAGCTATCAAAAATTTTAAATTACACACATGGCTTGCATCATATTTCTATTGGACAGCACTGCTCTGCAACAGTGGTCCTCAACTGGGGACCATTTTGTCCCCCAAGGAACATCTGTCAACATCTAGAAACATTTTTGGTTGTCACAACTTGGGAGTGCTATTGGCATCCAGTGGATAGAGACCAAGGATGATACTAAACATTCTACAACACACAAAATAACTTTGCTTTGGAAACAAAATATACCTAAATACCACCACCACCGCTACCTCAGTTCTTTTATCAGAATACAACAGAGAAAAGCACTCATTACATATGTCAAGCACCTATTACATAAGGAAGTAATGAGGGACGACAGGATGGCTGATGTTTAGAGAAAAGCTTTTGTGGAAGAGGAAGAATTTATGATCATAGAAGAAGGCTCGTATGATTTTAAAAGGCAAAAACAGAAGGATGAGGAATAAATTCTCTTTTATTGTTAGAATAAAGGAAAAAACTACTATCAACAAAATGCACATGAAAAGGAATTAGAAGTCTCAGGCTAGTCAGGACCAGAAACTTCTGCAACAATTTAGGGAAAGAGGTCTTGAGGCCTTAAGCTAAGTATACTGCAGCTCAGAAAGAACAGATGGAATAATTATCCCTTAATATTTTGAAAGCAATTTTTTCTTTAAACATCCTAATCATATATAGCGTATAAACTATTTCAAGAATGATAAATGAGCATTATAATGTGCTTAAATAAAAATAAAGTAGATCACCACTTTTTTCATTATTAATCAGTAGTCCCAAATTAGATTAGACCAAGTCTCAAGCTAAGGCTGAAAAAAGCTTTTAGGCAGACAACATTACCTTTCTGTGTCAAGCGCCTCCTCATTTTTCATCCATCTAATGGTTGGAGTAGGAAGTCCTGAAGCAACACACGGCAACACTGCACTCTGACCAATGACTCTGACTAAGGAAGAAGGCTCTTTCAAAAATACCAAGTTTGAAGTGAATTCAGGATCTAAAAAATTATAAAACAAAAGACATTAATTACGAAAGCACTTTACTACTTTAATGATGAGGAATGGCAAATTCCTATTCAGTCTGTGTGGCTTTATTATTTTATTTTTTTAAGTAGACTCCATGCCCAGTGTGGGGCTTGAACTCATGACCCCAAGATCAAAAGATGCATGCTTTACCAGCTGAGCCAGCCAGGCGCCCTATGTGGCTTTACATAACAAAATATTTTAAGCAAAAGTGACACAAGAACCGCCCATTTAAATTAGCAAACATTTCCAGGTGCCTGGGTGGCTCAGTTGGTTAAGTGTCTGACTCTTGATTTCGGCTCAGGTCATGATCTCAGGGTCATGAAATCGAGCCCTGCTTTGGGCTCCATGCTCAGCAGGGAGTCTGCTTGAGATTCTTTTTCTCCCTCTCCCTGTGCCCCGCCCCCAAAATAAATATATAAATCTTAAAAAAATAAATTAGCAAACATTTCCTTAATCACTTTGATGTGTAAAGCACTGTGCTAGGCTCTCTGGGGACCTTAAGGATGTAGAAGTTGTAGCTCCGAACTTCAAGGTGCTTACTAGTCAACTGAGGGATATTTGACAAGAATCCCCTTCACATCAAAAGACTGAATAAAGTAAATGTTTCATGAGTGGCACAAAGAGAGAAAAGACTGAGCAAGCTCAGGACCCTTAACAGCATCCTCTCCATTCATAGGGATATCGTAAGAGGTTTCCTTTACATCCCTACATCTGTGTGTTACTTCTAAAAATCTTTCTGAGTTTCATCTCTTTAACTCATTCACTTAGTCTGTCAATCCCTTGATTTTTATAATGGTACGACTGTTAGGCTGCTCCTGTGTGTTCACTTTATACAGCTGCCCTCTTATGGGTATCTGAAAAGGCCACACTCTAATGGGTAGAAGACAGGGTTCTCTTCTTGATGGAGTGGTATTTCCAGTGTTCAGTTTTGAGAAAAAAGACTGTTCTCAGTAAAGAGATAGAACTCTTGTCCCCATACTCTCAGGAAAAGATGTTCTACAGCCTTGGTAACAACCACCAGGGCTGGCTTTAGACTTGCATAACTAATGGATGACAGTTCTATAGCCATGGTAACAAGCAAACACTGTCTATTAGATGAGTGACAGCTCACTTCAGTGAACATGCCTTTGAAAGCCAGCCAACGAGTGATAGCCTCAGGCTTTAAAAGTCAGCCATTCAGAAGTGGAATCACTTGCTTCTATAGCTGACATTAACCTGCTCCCACCTCCGCAACCAACCATAAAACATGCTTCTATGGCTGACATCAACCCACTCTTGCCTCTTAACCAACACACCAAAAATAACGTCTTCCCCAAAATTCTATACGAGAGCAGCAGTTTGCATTATTCAAGACTATGCTTAACAACTATGATTTTTCCTCACTTAAGTAAATAAAACATTATTTTGTTTCTGTTTCAGATATTGAATGGTGGTTCATCCTCTGACACTGAAAATCTTTTTTTCCTTGGATCTGGTTTTGAGGATTTGCTTGAATGGTACCTCAGAGAAGAAATAGGACCTCTGCCATGTAAAAGCAAGTCAGGAAGTAGACTAGAAGATGCTGCAATATGGCAATAGTTTTCTTGTTTTCCCATTGGGATTTAGCTAAATTTAATCATATTTTGATAGAAACAAATAAATTTGAACAAATATTCACTGGCTTCTATGTGTCAGTTATCATTCTTGGCAGCAGACAAAATTCCCTACCCTTGTTGACCTTATATACTACTAGGGGAGAGAGACAAGAAATAAAAGACATTGTATGTCAGACAATGGATATGTTCTGAAGTAAAATTAAGGGGGAAAGAGGAAAGTACCAGGGTGGATATGAAGACTGTTGTTTTAAACAGTGGCCAAGGAAGGCTTAACAATGAAGTGATATTTGAGCAGAGAAATAAGACGGTTGTGTCAGGCAGATATCTGAGGGAAGAGGATTCCAGGCAGGGCAAATGGCAAGTAGAAAGACCGCAAAGCAAAAGAATGTCTGGAGTGTTCTGGAAACATAAGGTGGTCACAATCATAGAGTGAGGGAGAGAAGAGTACCAGATGGAAGGAGAGAGATGGTGAGGAAGGGGGCATTAAGAGTATACAAAGCCTTACAGGCCAAGGACTTTGCTCTAAGATGAGAAACCATTAGGTTTTGAGCAAAGATGTAACATGATCTAATATATATTTTATTTTATTTTATAATCTAATATACATTTTAAAAAATAACTGTGGCTGCTAAGCTGAAAATACACAGGGATAGGAATGGCAAAGGCATGGATGATGATGACAAAGAAAGAAACTGCCTTAAAAAAAAAAGTCAGTTCAAAGCCCATCAGGAACACCCTCAAGCGTCGCTGCTCCCAACACTGGGCTCACCTTGCAAGCCAATCCATAGACTAAAAATTAGCCTACAAAGTAGTTGTATATAAAAAATCTGCCCAAACAATGTAAAGATGGCCCCATTATATTCATAAACTCAGGTTTGAAGGAAGAAATGTGGAATTAGGCACGCAGCAGTGGGAACAGAAGCTGAGAGGCCAGGAGGCAGCAGGAGGCTAGCATGCCTGGGATGAGCAACACGTGAGAGGAAGTTATGAGTAAGCAGAAGTTACACAGCTGAGAAAAGACACATGAAACAGAGGAGGAGAGCCACCAGGGGCAGAAAGAGTGAGAACCCACAAAGCAAGGGAAGAAGGGCCTGAGTTTACATTAAAATGGGGGAACGCTATAAAGATCCAAGAACTCTTGCCTACCAGTGTCTCCAGAGCTGCTCTATTAGTTAACACGTTGCCCAACCCTTACATGAACTACCCCGAGGGAGTCTCGGATTCTGACAAGAGATCTAACTACATCAAGTATCCCATTCCAGGGAAGGAGCAGATAGAGGCTTGACAAGACACAGACCTAGGGTGTCTTTGGCCAAAAAGAATGCCATAGATACACTTTATCGCTTCATAAATTTCTATTAATGTATTCACTAAAGAGTAAATCTTTCTGGCACATTTTCTTCTTTTCTCTGCCTATAAGAAACTGAGACTCCTTATGCTGACATTAATTTGTCACACCATATATTTAACAGTGTTTATTTAAAAAGAAAATTCTAACAACAATTTTCATCCATTAATAAACATAAAACCACAAGTCCTGATAATAAATTAATACCTGGAAGAACTTTCAATTCAGCTTCATCGCTATACTTTGGTGGCCCACCACTTTCAACTATGCAGCGATAAAGTCCCCCATCTCCTTCAGTAGCGTTGCTGATAACCAGTGTTCCACTTGGAAGTTTGATAACTCTATCATCCAGAAGAAGAGGCTGTCTGTTCTGTTCCCACCTCACAAACGGGACCAAATCTACATTAACTTCACAATTCAGAATTGCAATGTTCCCAGCATAAACTGAAGAAGGTTCTGGTTGGCTGGCAAATCTTGGAAGACCTGGACAATAAAGGAAAAGAAGAAATAAAATGTAGTTTAATGTTACTTTAAAATGTAGTGTTGGGAACCAGGAGCAAGTCAGCCCATGTGGCCATATGTACGCTGGAACCAGGGTCAAGAAGAAAGTCCATGGGTCAGGAAACTGGCTACAACAGGGATACAAGCCAAATAAGTAAATGTACTAGGGATAATTGAAGTCACATTCCTCACAGTTGGAGAAGCAAGGTACAAATATGGAAAAGCAGAAGGGTAGAATAAATCCCATGGTATTGGTAGAATTAAGGCATCAGTATAAACTTACAGTTTTATGTAATTATATAGTTAAACATATACATACATATAAATGTATGTGTAAAAAAATATACATTTCATACAGTCATTACATACATATATATCTGTACATATATGTATATGCATAAATCTCCTAGCTCTGTCCAGAGAGAGTCCAAAATCAATGCCACTTGAGTAGCAATGAGTATATATGGTGACATAATCTTGATTTCTAAATACCATTTTCCACTACAAGGAACCAATGCTCCTTAAAGAGGTTGATTCTACGACGAGAGTAAGGAAAATACAAGATAAACCTGGAACATCCTGTGACAGGAAGTAAGGAAGCATCCAAAGAACAATATGGACCTATCAAAAGGACACAGAAGTCAGACTGAAGGGAGTTTCCTCTGGCTCAATCTGGGATAATGATAATTGAGGCAGAAAAGAATGAATGGATGCTAAACTCACTGGTGAAAGGTGGATGAGGAATAGGATATATACAGAGCCTCAAATTAGCTCTTCCCAAAATACTGCTAATTAATAAAAGTATAAAATATTAACTTCACAGTGGAGAAACATAGCATAGACCATATTAACAAAGTAATAAAGGTTTTAACATAACCAGTAGTGAAACAAAACATCATACACTTCCTGATAGAATGCACTAAGAAGAACGCGGCTTCATTTACTTCTGTGATATTTCTTCCCAAAATGCAAAACCTGAATCTATTCATAGGGGAAAATCAGAAAACACAAAATGAGACTAGGATAAACTAAAGAATGGTTTGAGACCAAAAGAGCCTAAACTACTAAATACAACATGTAATCCCAGACCAGAAAGGAGTGGCAGAGGGGCAAAGTTCCTGCTTTTGTTTTTTGCTATTAAGAACTTTATCGAGGGGCGCCTGGGTGGCTCAGTCGTTAAGCGTCTGCCTTCGGCTCGGGTCATGATCCCAGGGTCCTGGGATCAAGCCCCGCATCAGGCTCCCTGCTCAGCGGGAAGCCTGCTTCTCCTTCTCCCACTCCCCCTGCTTGTGTTCCTGCTCTCACTGTGTCTCTCTCTGTCAAATAAATAAATAAAATCTTTAAAAAAAAAAAAAGAGCTTTATCGAAGCAACCAGTAAAATCAGAATGGTATCTACGGTAGTATCGTATTAAGATTGACTTCCTAAAATTGATGGATGGTTATTTAGGAGAGTATCTTTGTTTTTAGGAAATATACACAGAAGTATTTAGGTGGGGGTAATGCCTCCAACTTACCCATAATGATTTAGGAAAAAACACTGATTTGGGTATGTGCATATTGTGGGGGGTTATAAGGCAGACATAGTAAAATGTTAACAATTGGGTAATCTGAGTGAAGAGTATATGGGATTTCTTGGTTTCATTCTTGCAATAATTGTATGAGTTTGAAATTATTTCAAAATAAAATATTGACAAAAATGTAGTCATAAATACTCTGTAGATGCCACAGAATGTAGTGGTTAAGAGCCTAAGTTCTGGAGTCACATAATCTGCATGTGAATCCCAACCCCACCACTTCATGGCTGTGTGACATTAGCAAGTTACTTAACCTTGAAGTCTCAGTTTCTCCATCAGGAAAATGAGAACAATAAGAGACCTCATAGGGTGTTAAAAAGGTTAATACTTAACATAAATACTTCATATATAGCATATTGCCTTGGCACATAAAAACTCAAATAGTAGGGGTGCCTAGGTGGCACAGTTGGCTAAGCATCTCACTCTTGGTTTTGGCTCAGGTCATGATCTCAGGGTCTTGGGATCAAGCCCCACGTCAGGGTCTGCACTCAGTGCAGAGTCGGCTTGAGATTCTCTCTCCCTCTCTGCCCCTCCTGATCATGCCCCCCCCCCAAATAAATACATCTGGGAAAAAAAAAATACTCAAATAGTAGCTGCTATTATCATTAACAGTAACATCTAAAAAAGTGACTCTGAGACGCTGAGAACACAGCAAACTGTCTCTTTAAAGAGTAACAAACATAGTAAATTATGAGAAATAGTTCCAGGTTTTGCAGTTTTATGATGGTGAATTATTCCATATGGAAATAACACACAAGTTGTCTAGCCTTCTTACAAATTTTTTCTTATTTTTTGTATCAAGGGGATTTTTGAAGGAAAGAAAGATAAAATTAGCCATACATCTACTTTACAGAAACCAAAAAATTAGAAGAATGGAATTAACAAAGATAAACAGAGAAACTAAGAAAGTAGGAAAAAAGGAAGCTGAAATAAAACCAAGAGCTAATTCTATTTTTAAAAAGCCAAATATTCTCCCCTCCTGAGGTCTCATGAAAATGAGTAACAACATATGTGGAACTGGCAGACAAGAGATTTCTACAAGTTTCTCAACAGGGAAAGCAGACGGAGGAACTGGTGCTGACATACCATGGCAGGAAGTGCTGCAGCCTCCTGCGCTCACAAGTAGGAGGCCCGTTTGTCCTGCTGCTTTCAGAGAATTGCAGGAGAAAGGAGAGAGAGTAGGAGCGAGATGGGGGCTGGACAAACAGAGATTAACAATGTCTGTATTCAGACCACCCAATGCCTCCACCTTGAGGCACAAAACACTCCTAGCCAGGCTACAGCCAGGCAGTAAAACCAAAATTTCCGCTGTGGAGAAATGAGTGCAGAGAAGACGACTTCTCCTACCTAATTCTATGAGCTACCTACTTTGTGTTCTTTCAGAAATTCCCCTTCTTACTTGACTTGGCCAGAATCAGTTTCTATCACTCGTAACCAAAGAACACTAACCAATGTTCTTTTAAAGATTTTATTTATTTATTTGAGAGAGAGAGAGAGAGTATGAGGGGGGAGAGGGTCAGAGGGAGAAGCAGACCCCCCACTGAGCGGGGAGCCTGATGCGGGACTCGATCCTGGGACTCCAGGATCACGACCTGAGCTGAAGGCAGTTGCTTAACCAACTGAGCCACCCAGGCACCCCCAATGTTCTTTTAGAACTGCAATTTGGCAGAATCTTTTTGAAAAAAAAAATTAGTTTTATTGAGATACAACTTATATACCATAAAGTTTATCACTTAAAGTCCACAATTCAACAGTTTTTAGGATACACATAAAGTTGTGCAACCTCACTAGAACCTAGTTGGAGAACATTTTCATCATCCTTCAAAGAAACTGTGTACTCAGTTGCAGTCACTCCCCATTCCCTGTGTTCACCCACCCAGCCCCTGTGCCCTTATCTCCCTCCCCCATCCTCAGCCCTAGAAAACCACCAATCTACTTCTTGGCGCCCTATATTTGCTTCTTCCGGACATTTCATATATATGAAGTCATATGATATGCGGCTTCTTTCACTTATCATGTTTTTCATGTTTATCCATTTGCAGTACATAGAAGAATTTCATTCCTCTTTATTGCTGAGTAACATTCCATGTGTGAATATACCACATTTTGGTTAGCCAATCATCACTTGATACATTGTTTCCACTTTTTGGTTATTACGGATAATGCTGCTATAACCACTCATGTACAAATTTTTGTACAGATCTAACTTTTCATTTCTCTGGGGTTGTTACCTAGAAATGGAATTGCTCAGTCATAAGGTTAACTTTATGGTTAAAATTTTGAGGAACAGCCAAATAGTTCAGTGCTCTTTTTAAAATTACACACACACACAAAGTATATTCTATGATCCAGCAACTAATACAATTACTAATTCCAATAATCTTTTCTATAGAGATTTATAAAAGACTGTTCATTATACTACTGCCTTTAACATTAGACAATTTTTATTCATGTAACTGTTCATCAAAAAGGGAATCTTGGGATAAATCACAGTATATCTATACAATGGATATTATGCAACTATTAAAAGAACTTTTATTCATCTCTTAGCTCAGATCTTATTTCCTCCTGATACTCAGGCCATGAGTGAGTTAAATAACTCTCCTACAGAATCTTGTCTGCAGCCAAAGAATTGATTATATTGTATTGAAATTGGCTATTTACTAAGACATTAGACCAAAAAATGCTTCCTGAAGGATATGAAAATTAAAAAGAAGGATGGACAAATCCAGCAGAGTAGAAAGAGAGGAAAAAGTAGAGGACAGGCTTAATAGGCAGTGGGGAAGCCATGAGCAAAGGCCAGAGACAGAGAATAAAAGGGATTTGAAAATATTCAGTACTGGTAGAGCTTAAAATGTGTCGAAGGTGGTCCTGCTGCTTCTGATGGTAGAGGGCAGGGAGAGAGGCAGGGCAGAGTGTTAAGAAATGAAGCTGGAGAGGGGGAACTGGGTGGCTCAGTCGGTTAAGTGTCCGACTCCTGATTTCAGCTCAGATCATGATCTCAGGGTCCTGGGATCCAGCCCCTCATCAGGCTCCGTGCTCAGCAGGGAGTCTGCTTGAGATTCTCTCCCTCTCCCTCTGCCCTTCCCCACTCCCCCTAAAATAAATAAATAAATCTTTAAAAAGGGAGGGAGGGAGGGAGGAAGCTGGAGAAGTGGAGGCCAGCTCATGAAAAGACTCAGAGGCCTGTTCAAGAGTTAGACATCTACTTGATGTTGTCACTGAAGAGCTACTGAAGGGTGAGGAGAGAGCCTGACCACTAGACTGGAAGAGGGAAAGAACGAGGCAGTGGACAGTTACAGGCAGTGTGAGGTGAGGGATGATGAGGAGTAGCCTCAGGATCATGTATAAAGAAACTAGGAAGCAGAATTCACTGGATTTGGTGAAAGGCTGTGGCAGACAGCAGAGAGGAAGGAGTCATGATTAAAGCCCAGCTTAAGAACATAAATGACAAAGAAGAGCTCACCTAAGTGACACTGTAGGGGCAGTCATAATGCTAACTTATTTATCTGCATGTTGGAGAAAGCCTGGCAAGCAGATCAGAGGAAGAAAGGAAGGGAAGGAAGAAGGGAAAGGAAAAAGGAAGGAAAGAAGGAAAAGAAGGGGGAAAAAAAAAGAAAGGAAAGGCTAATTATCAAAAGAAGTGACTTTTTTCCCTTTTTCTTTTTCCATTCTCAGTCTGTGATTATGGAATAATTACAGTAGCTTTATATCACACTCAAATTCAGCTATAAGTATCTGGTTCCAAAAAGAAAAAGAGCCATGATACTCTGAATGAATGAGCAAATATAGCCTGGAGTGAGCGGGAAATGGGGTACTATCACCCCACAGTGGCAATGAGATGGGAAACTATTCTGTTACTCATTTTCTTTTTTTCACATGTTAGCATTTTACCAAGATGAGTATAAACATAAGACAATTTCTGTACAATGTGACCCTTAACAAAAACTAACTACACTTCATCTAGTACTCAAGTGAAGAAACACTGACCCGAGGAATACCAGCATCTACTACAAGACACTCATGACTTATTCAGCTTACGCTTCCATTATTCTTCATATAAGAATGCTCTAAAAGGGAGTGAATGTTTGTCTCTTTACAACTTTCTGCTCTTCACCTTAATACCCACATCCTACAGGTTTTTATTTTTTATTTTTTAAAGATTTTATTTATTTATTTGAGACAGAGAGAATGAGAGAGAGAGAGCACATGAGAGGGGGGAGGGTCAGAGGGAGAAGCAGGCTCCCCGCCGAGCAGGGAGCCCAATGCGGGACTCGATCCAGGGACTCCAGGATCATGACCTGAGCCGAAGGCTCGCTTAACCAACTGAGCCACCCAGGCGCCCCTACAGGTTTTTAAATAATTAATCCAATTAAATGTCATTTCCTTGGCTTGGGCATAAAGGAACCAAGATTCTGGCTATACTGCAAGTTTTACAAAGCCATACTAAGTGGTTATGCTGGGGAGGATAAAAGTTAGCAATCAAAGGGAATCAATTTTCCTATACAACTTCCTCTGTCATTTCCAAATTAAAAAGAAAAGAACGGACTTAATATTTCTGATCGCAGCTATTAGCAATCTAAATGACAGAAAGTGGAGAAGTGCTACAGTTTATTCCCCATGGCACGAAGCAAGTCTTAGCAGAATGCCATGCACCTAGCAGATGCTCAATTGATACTTGTTAAGTGAGTATATTTCTTGTTACCAGTTAAATGAAAACTCTAGGATAATACTGCTTTTTATCAAGATATGCCCTTTATAAAAATTTGAAAATACAAATAAATTACTTTTGAAAAACTTACCTGCTACTGTGAGCTTGGCTGTTCTGCTGACAATAGTTCCAAGACTCTCAACAGTGGCCACACACTGATAATAACCTTCGTCAGGTTTATTGTGTTTGGAATGCACCACACTGCTGATAAATAAAGACCCATCTGAGAGAAGCTGGCGTCGGTCATCTGATACTAAGTTTAAAAAAGTTCCATCTTTTTTCCATTCAATTTTTGGAGAAGGTTCAGAATATGCTGAACAGTTCAATATAACAGAAGAGCCTCTAACTGAGAGCGTATCCACTGGCTCCACCAGAAAATAAAATGGAGTGAATGTTCGAATGCTGGATCCTACAAAAATAACAAAAAGAACAAAGTTAAGCAAGCTTTCTTCTTCTATTTCTGTAAGAAATGTAATTTGTATAAAAGTTATTGTTAAATAATTATGCTGTTTGGATATGATACATAAGTCATTTCACTATTAGTATCTAATAAATAAAATTTTACTAGGAAATAAAAATATGACCCATTTAGAAGAAGATGAAAAAAAAGACCCTGCCAGATGACATAATCCAACGTTGTTAGATTACATGAATATCTAATAAAAGTTTTATGTCAAACCCTACAATGGGATTTATAAATATTTAAAATTATTTTATTCAAAGTGAAATTTTCTATGAAACACAAAGGAAGCAGAAAACAAATGATTCTTTGTTATTAAGTTACATTTACTGGCTATATTTGTTTCATAAATTCACCATACATACACTTTGTCCATTTTTCTAGTGGATTACTCATCCTATTGACTTAGCAATTTTGGGGCATAGCTATCATGTTTTGCAAATATTCTTTTTTCCCCTTTGACTTTATTTTTGTCATAAGAAAACAAATTTTAACTATATAAAATTAAATCTGTTATACTTAAAAAGATTTTTATTCCAAGATTATAAAAAATTTCAGCCTTGTTTTGTGCTAGTACTTCTGTGATTTCATTTTCTACATTTAATCTTCATCTATAATTCTTTTTTTTTTTTTAAGTAGGGAACTCACGACCCTGAGATCAAGACCTGAGCTGAGATCAAGAGTCAGATGCTTAATCAACTGAGCCGCCCAGGCGCCCCAAGAATTCATTTTGATGTAAACAGCACAGGAGGGATCAGTTTAATTTTTCTAAGTCCTTAGAAAAATTCTTTGAACATGAGAAGTTCCTGGCCAGTTCCCTGAACATGAGAAGAACACAATTTTTTTTTTTTTTTAATTTACTATAGGAAACTCCATACTGTTTTCCAGAGTGGCTGCACCAGCCTGCATTCCCACCAACAGTTGGGTTCCCCTTTCTCCACATCCTCACCAACATTTGTTGTTTCCTGTCTTGTTAATTTTTGCCATTCTAACTGGTATAAGGTGGTATCTCATTGTGGTTTTGATTTGTATTTCCCTGATGGCTAAAAATAGAGCTACCCAATGACCCAGCAATTGCACTACTAGGTATTTACCCCTAAGGTACAGATATAGTGAAAAGAAGGGGCACCTGTACCCCAATGTTCATAGCAGCAATGTCCACAATAGCCAAACTGTGGAAGGAGCCAAGATGCCCTTCAACAGATGAATGGGTAAACATGTGGTACATATATACAATGGAATATTACTCAGTCATCAGAAAGGATGAATACCCACCATTTGCATCTACATGGATGGAACTGGAGGGGATTATGCTAAATGAAATAAGTCAAGCAGAGAAAGACAATTATCATATGGTTTCACTCATATGTGGAACATAAGGAATAGCATGGAGGACCACAGGGAAAGGGAGGGAAAACTGCATGGGAAGAAATCAGAGAGGGAGACAAACCATGAGAGACTCTGGACTCCAGGAAACAAACTGAGGGTTATGGAAGGGAAGGGGGATGGGGTAACCGGGTGATGGGTATTAAGGAGGGCACGTGATGTGATGAGCACTGGGTGTTATACACAACCAATGAATCATTGAATACTACATCAAAAACTAATGATGTACTATATGTTGGCTAACTGAACATAATAAAAAAAATTGCTATAAATCTTATATTCTCAGCCAGAGAAAACTTTCCAACTTAAAGCTTTACCTCTTTTCTTTAAGAAGAGTACTGACCGAATCCCTTGTAATCAGACTATAATCAATTCTAATCAGATTTCTTCATGTGAACAATTAGGGAGGCTTAGGCCAACAGATGAAAACAAGACAGTTTTTAAAATATATCTACACACCCCTTTATCTATAATTTATTTACACTATGATTTTAAGAATGACGCTAGTTCTTTACTACGTAATGAAAGAGTGGTTCTAAATAAATATAAAATATACTGGCAGAGGGAAGGGAATAATATTCACTTGTTTTAAATTTTTCAAACACTTACAATGTGAATCAAATTCCAAACAGACTAATCTTCCTTTCCCAAACACCATGAGGTGGGTTCCATCCCTATTTAATGATTATGAAATTGATTCTTCAAGTCTTAAAACTCTTGAGAATGAGCTTAGGAATTTTTCAAAAGTAACCTGCAGGGATTTGCTTTTTACTACTGTAAAAAATGTTACATTGATACTATAGTAAAATAAAAATATCAACTCCAGGGCAATACAAAAAGATTGCTAAACAAAGAGAAATTACTTTTATACCGTTCCTGCGTAACATTAAATCTTTATTATACCATCCAAATTAAACAATTCAGGAACTTAAGAGAGAAATGTGTTAGACTGGCAGTCAAAATATGCAAAGTTAACAGTTTAAAATAATTATTAATAAATTTCATTTTAAAATTTGGACAAAGTTTTGCCATTTAAAAAATAATAATTACACAAACGTAAATTTTTCAGAGCTTAACATTCTATCTTGCTTTTGATTTTCTTTCATTTTCTTTTTTTTTTAAGATTTTATTTATTTATTTGAGAGAGAGAGAGAACGAGCAAGGGGAAGAGCAGAGGGAGAGGGAGAAGCTGACTCCCTGCTGATCAGGGAGCCCCAAGTGGGGCCCAATCCCAGGACCCTGGGATCATGACCCCAGCCGAAGGCAGACGCTTAACCAACCAAGCCGCCCAGGTGCCCCTGATTTTCTTTCATTTTAAAAGTCCTTATCAACCAAGTTGAACAAGAGTATATGCCTTCAAAAATTTTTTTTAATTATAGTGAAGTTGACAAATGCCTTTGAAAACCAAGGCCCTTCAAAATTTTACCACAAATATGTACTCTACATTACTTAGAATACAGCATTACTTAAATATTTATGTATATCATCTTTGTATTTTATTCCCTCAGTAAACACACAGTGACCTAAGGTACTGTTCCTTCGCTTAAAATCCCTCAAAGGCTTGTCACTGTCTTTTACAAACTAAGTAAACTCCCTCTCTCCTCACCCTCTAAGGCTTGCTGCATCTCTGTCACCCCCTTAGCTCCTGCCCTCTTCACACAAGCTACTCCCACCACCACCCCTCTCCAACTGACTCCAAGTCTTCCTTCAAGCTCAGCTTAAATACTACTTTCTCAGAAATGCTGTCTGTGCCTGGTGCCCAGACAAGATTAGTTTCGTCTTGTTACAAGCCGGCATGGCATACAGTACCTACATAGCACTTCAAATGTTCTTAATCTTTAAATATTTGTAATAACTTGTTTGTAAGGGCACAGAAGTTCCCAAAGTTTCTTGACTCCTGGTGCCCTTATTTTTTAAATTTTTTTCACCAATTCTCTAGGCTAAAAGAAATACCTAACAGCTTTGTTTATGTAATAGTTAGGTTCAAACAAATGAATCAGTATTTATGTCCTAACAAGTTAGTATCCTATTGAAAAAATATTACAGGCAAATTGAAAAATATTTTAACTTTTAAACAACCACAACTAGTTATTATGGGATGTGTGCACATATTGGACACTGCATGAGTTCTCAAACCTTGAAATCAAATTGGATACTGCCATCCTCTAGGACAACTGGTTACCCACATGAGGAAAAAAACAAGAAGCCTACTTACAACATGTAATAACAGTAAACACTTAACATGTTTCTATGTATCAGAGACTGCTCTAAACCTTCTCTACATACTAACTACTCATTTAATCTCCACTACTATCTTATTATAGGTACAACTATTATTCTCATTTTAGAGGAGAAAACTAAAGCATAGAAATGTTAAATACCTTGTCCAAGGTCACACAGGTAGTAAATAACAGAACCAGAGTCTGTGATCTTAACCACACTACACTATAATGCCACTTATATACATATAGAAAAATACATTCCAGACCTATGAGAAAACTATGTAAAAAAAAATTTAGGGGGCGCCAGGGTGGCTCAGTTGGTTAAGCATCTGCGTTCAGCTCAGGTCATGATCCAGAGTCCTGGGATGGAGCCCAGAGTCAGGCTCCCTGCTCAGCGGGGAGTCTCTTTCTCCCTCTCCCTCTGTCCCCCCACCCTCTGCTTGTGCTCTCTCTCTCTCACTCTTTCTCTCTCAAATACATAAATAAATCAATCTTTTAAAAAAGATTTTAGGAAAATACAAGGATAACCCTGGTGTCAGGCAACCTTTTAAATCAAAATAGGGAACTTCAAAGTTAGAAAAGATAGATATGTTTCACTTCATTGTATTTAAATTTTTAAAACTTTAAGGCAAAAATATCATGACAAAGCAAAATATGACAAGACTGGGAGGAAATTTATCACATGTAACAAGAATTTTAAAAGTCACATCACTCAATAAAAAAAATGGATAAGGCTGTGTTCCAATAAAAGTTTATAAAAACAAGCAGCAGGATGCATTTGATCCATTGACTCCTGCCTTAGAATATTTAGCCAGCAAAAAATAAGTGAGCCACATTTCAGCTGATCTGGAATGAATTCTGAGAAAAATGAACAATGCAGACAAGTATAAATAATAAAATGTCTGTACATACGACTATATGAGCACCGAGAAAGTAGCAAAGTGTACCAGGTTGTTACCACTGATTTACTGGGAGGAGATGAGTAGATAAAAAGCTTCAAGCACACAGAAAATAATTTCATAATAAAAATCAACTAATGTGTATAATCCCTTTATAAGTATTATACGTGTTGTGGTAGGTGTGGGTGAAGGGGTACATTTTTTAAAAACTAGTCATTAAAATGTGGATTATCTCAGGGTGGTGAGATTTCAGTTGACTTTTAATTTCTCCTTTCACCTTTGCTATTGCATGAATATTTTACATGAAACACAATGTTGTTCAAGCAGAAATAAAGCTATTTTCGTATACAGTCTGCACAGGAAAAGGACAATATGAAAAGTCTGGGGCATATTCACATGCCAACATTCAAAAACTTAAAATATATATACTGTTAAATAAAAA